CCCACGAAGGAAAGGGGTTTGAGCTTCAGATCTATACAAGATGTATCAAAATCTTTGGTGTATTTTCAAGGTGAACACATCCCTAAAAAGTGCGAAGAAGTATTACTAAAAATGTATTGCTATAGGAGATAATAAGAAACATAAACAAAAGAAAGAAGTTGCATAATGTGGTAGTTAAGCTTGACATGGCTAAGGCTTATGATAGAGTAACATGTATTTGCCTTATTAAAGTAGTAAGGAAGTTTGGATTTGAGGAATTGATTATATTTATGATATGGAGACTATTATCTAACAACTGGTACTCTGTCCTTTTGAATGGACAGTCTTTTGGATTTTTCAAGTCTTCAAGGGGTCTCAAACAGGGAGATCCTATTTCTCCAACTTTATTCATTACTGGTGCTTAAATTTTATCCAGAAACTTAAACATGTTGTTTGAGAATACTAATTTCAAAGGATTTGATTTTCCAAAATGGAGTTCTGAAGTGAATCATTTATCATATGCAGATGATACCATCTTATTTTTCTCAGGACAATCTACTTCTATGAGAATGATGTCCTGTTTTCTATGGGAGAAAGAATAAGGCTCATTTTGAAGATTTAGTGAAAAAGGTGATGAAGAGGATTAACTCTTGACAAAATAGGTTTGACTTTTGGTGGGAAGTATATACTGATATCTCATGTGCTTCAATCAATGTCTATATACCTACTTTCAGCTATGAATCCACCAGTCAGTGTTATTAATCAGCTTCATAGTATCTTTGCTAAGTTCTATTGGGTAAATACCAGTGGTGCTAAAAACATATATTGGGTCTCATGGGATAAGATGTGTCTGCTCACGAATGAAAGGGGTTTGAGCTTCAGATCTATACAGGATGTATCAAAAGCTTTGGTAGCAAAGCTTTGGTGGATTTTCAAGGTGAGCACATCTCTATAAAGTGCGAAGAAGTATTACTAAAAATGTGTTGCTATAGGAGATAATAAGAGATATAAAGAAAAGAAAGAAGTTGCATAATGTGGTAGTTAAGCTTGACATGGCTAAGGCTTATGATAGAGTAACATGTATTTGCCTTACCAAAGTGTTAAGGAAGTTTGGGTTTGCAGAATTGATTATAGATATGATATGGAGACTATTATCTAACAACTGGTACTTTGTCCTTTTGAATGGACAGTCTTTTTGGATTTTTCAAGTCTTCAAGGGGTCTCAAACAAGGAGATCCTATTTCTCCAACTTTATTCATTACTGGAGCTGAAATTTTATCCAGAAACTTAAACATGTTGTTTGAGAATACTAATTTCAAAGGATATGATTTTCCAAAATGGAGTTCTGAAGTGAATCATTTATCATATGCCTATGATACCATTTTATTTTTCTCAGGAAAATCTACTTCTATGAGAATGATGTCCTGTTTTCTATGGGAGAAAGAATAAGGCTCATTTTGAAGATTTAGTGAAAAAGGTGATGAAGAGGATCAACTCTTGACAGAATAGATTTGACTTTTGGTGGGAAGTATATACTGATATCTCATGTGCTTCAATCAATGTCTATATACCTACTTTCAGCTATGAATCCACCAGTCAGTGTTATTAATCAGCTTCATAGTATCTTTGCTAAGTTCTATTGGGTAAATACCACTGGTGCTAAAAACAAACATTGGGTTTCATGGGATAAGATGTGTCTGCCCAAGAAGGAAAGGGGTTTGAGCTTTAGATCTATATAGGATGTATCAAAAGCTTTGGTAGCAAAGCTTTGGTTGATTTTCAAGGTGAGCACATATCTATAAAGTGCTTATATATGGAATAAATATTGTAAAAAGTTACATCATATCCTAGTGTAGGGTCGAAGAGATTCTCGTATTTGGAGAAAAATGATTTTGGTAAGGGTGGAAGGTGAACATCAAATCTGGTGGCAGGTTCTTACTGGAAACTCAAACTTCTGGTTTGACAATTGGACTAAGCAAGGTGCACTTTATTACATAGAAGGGAATCATGCAGAGGAAGAGGAAATTGAGGTTAGAGAATTCATCAACCAAGGAAACTGGGATATTCCTAAGCTCAGGAGCAAATTATCAGAGGAGATGATAAAACATATTGTGGAAACAATCAAACCTCCAACAGAAGGAAGAAAGGATGATAAACCATGGTGGATGGCCAACACTAAAGAAGTTTTTTATGTTAAATCAGTTTGGGAACTTGTGAGGAAAAGAGATGAGCCTACACAGTGCTATGAATTAATGTGGATAAAGAGAGTTTCTTTTAAGATAAACTTCTTTTATTGGAGAGTATGGAGGAGGAGAATATCAACTGATGATAATCTGAAAAGGATGAAAATTACATCTGTCTCTAGATGTCATAGTTGTGACACTTATGAAGAGGAAACCATGTGCCATTTATTACTAACTTCTCCCACAGCCAACAAGCTATGGAAGCAATTTGCTATTTTTGCAGGTATCAATATTGACAACATGCACTTACAACAAGTAATAATTAAATTCTAGAGGCTCACAGGGCCATCAAAATTGAGGAGTGTTTGCAGAGCAATACCCTCATTAATAATGTGGACACTATGGAAGAGAAGAAATGCCAGAAGACATGATAGATACATCAATTTCCACAACATGGTGTTACAAGTTCAAACACTAATACGGCAGTTGATTGTGATGTGGTTCCCATGGATGAAAAGATTACCAGGCCAACCATAGTACAAATGCTTAGGATGTACAAACCCAAATTGTATTATTAATCAGTAGCTTGGAGACCCCCTGAAGGTACAATTATTAAGTGTAATACATATGGGACTTGTAGAGGCAATCCAGGATTGAGTACATATGGGTTTTACTTGAGAAATAGTGAAGGAAATCTAATATATGCTTTGTTATCCTCCTGTATTAAGGTTAGCAAAACAGAAATAGAAAATAAATGAAACAGACAGAAATAAAAATTCGAGTCCACAGAACCCATTGTGTTTCCTTAAGAAATTTAATCCCCTCAAGTACCCGAGGTTGCAAATTAATTCCTCCCAAGATAAAACGGATTAACCTATTAGAGAAGTAGCGGTACCTCAAACTTCAATAATTTCAGCGAACGCAAGAACAGTAACAAGAGCACACACGGACTCAGTCGATCGGCAATTTATTTTTGTAAGAAAATGTATGCAGAGAGGAAAAAATTTCAGTGAATGAAAAATGAAAAAGACCTTTTATTTATAGCCATTTGCAACAAGGAACGCGTATGTGCGGACAATGGTGTCATTCCAGAACGTTGTGTCTTTTTGGGAAAAGTAACGCCTTTTCGAAAGGAACATGTCCTTTCAGAACGTTTTTACCATTACACGCGAATTTCAAATTAATTTCGTTACGCAAAATTAATTATGTTAATTAACTAACATTCTGAATTAATTTATAAGAGAAAGGAAATCAATTAATGAGATTGATTAAATAAATTTTGTCCAAAAATATCATCAATCAATCATTTGCCAAATCCAAATCCAAATTCAAAGCCGAAGTCGAAAGAGCGACGGTGCGAGCGGGTACCTTCTTCTTAACCCTTTAAGAACTAAAGGAAGTGTTTCCCAATATTAAATCGGCAACTCCTAAATCTTTCGTATCTAACTTACTAGCGAGCATACGCTTAGTAGTTTTACATTAGCAATGTCTTGGCTCATTAGCAGCATGTCATCCACATATAGACATGCAATGACCTCCTGATTTGGAGTGTCATTAATGTAGACACATTTATCACATTCATTGATCTTAAATCCATTTGACAACATGGTTTGATCAAATTTTGCATGTCATTGTTTCGGTGCTTGTTTTAGTCCATAAAGTGACTTAACAAGTTTGCATACTTTCTTTTCTTTACCGAGAACTACGAAGCCCTCAGGTTGTTCCATGTAAATCTCTTCCTCCAGCTCTCCATTTAAGAAGGTGGTTTTCACATCCCTTTGATGGATTTCAAGATCATATACTGAAGCTAGGGCAATTAACATCTGAATTGACGTAATCCTAGTCATTGGCGAGTATGTGTCAAAATAATCAAGACCTTTTTTCTGTCTAAAGTCTTTGACAACAAGTCTTGCTTTATATTTGTCAATAGTTCCATCATATTTCATCTTCCTTTTGAAGATCCATTTCGAACCCAATGGTTTTTTCCCTGGAGGAAGATCAACCAACTCACAGGTATGATTGCTTAAGATTGATTCAATCTTACTATTGACAGCCTCCTTCCAAGAGGTTGAGTCGCTAGACAACATAGCTTATTTGAATGTTTGAGGCTCACTTTCAAGAAGGAATGTTACAAAATCATATCCAAATGAATTAGCTGTCCTTTGACGTTTACTGCGCCTTGGACTCTCTTCATTAGGCTCATTCTCTTTTGGTTCTTCTCGAGGTCGTTTAGACACCCTACAAGATGACTCAAGTCTAGTTTTATACTGATAGATATGTTCAAAGAATTTATCATTATTTGATTCCATTACCGTATTGTCATAAATATCCGGATGTTCGGACTTATGAACCAAAAATCGACATGCCTTACTATTTGTGGTATATCCAATGAATACACAATCTACAGTCTTAGGCCCTATTTTCACCCTCATAGGTATAGGAACCTGGACTGTGGCTAGACACCCCCACACTTTGAAATATTTCAAGTTGGGTATTCTACCTTTCCATTTCTCATATGGAATAACATGTGTCTTGGTGTAAGGCACTCTATTGAGTATTCGATTTAATGTAAGGATAGCTTCCCCCACAAGTTTTGTGGTAAACCTGAACTGATAAGTAAGACATTCATCATTTCCTTTAAAGTTTGATTTTTCCTTTCCGAAATTCCATTAGATTGAGGAGAGTAAGGTGCAGTAGTTTGATGGATGATTCCATTTTCCAAACATATTTTTGCAAATAGAGATTCATATTCTCTACCTCTATCACTTCTGATCATTTTGATCTTTTTATCCAACTGATTTTCAACTTCAGTTTTATATTGCCTAAATGCATCTATTGTTTCATCCTTACCATTTAGCAAATAGACATAACAATATTTAGTGCAATCATCAATAAAAGTTATGAAATACTTTTTCCTACCACGTGTTGGTGTTGACTTCATGTCATAGATGTCCGTGCGAATCAGTTCTAAGGGATATGAATTCCTTTCAACAAATTTATAAGGATGTTTAACATACTTAGATTCAACGCAAACTTGACATTTTGATTTATTGCACTCAAAATTAGGCAAAACATTTAAGTTAATCAGTTTTCGTAAGGTTTTGTTAGTAATGTGTCCCAAACGTTCATGCCGTAAACATTTAGACTCAAGCAAGTAAGAAGAAGCAGGATTTTTATTCATATCAACTGCAATTACATTGAGTTTAAAGAGGCCCTCAGTGAGGTAAAATTTTCTTACATACATCTCATTCTTACTTACTACAACTTTATCAGAAATAAATACACATTTGAATCCGTTCTTAGTCAGAACTGGTATAGAAACTAAATTCTTTCTCAATTCCGGAACATATGAGACCATGTTCAACGTCACCACCTTGCCCGATGTCATCTTTAAGAGGACCTTGCATGTTCCTTCCACCTTTGCAACAACGGAGTTTGCCATAAAAAACTTCTCGTCTGTAGGTGCTGGCGTATATGATGTAAATAATTCTTTGTTGGCACAAACATGACATGAAGCACCAGAATCTATCCACTATTCTCTTGGATTTCCAACTAAGTTGCATTCTGAAATCATTGCACAGAGATCGTCCATCTCTTCTTTGGATTCAGCCAAATTTGTTTGATCCTTCTTCTTGTCCTTCTACCCCGACATTCAATAGCCCTATGACCACGTTTACCACAATTGAAGCAGCTTCCATTGAATTTCTTCTTAGGAGGATTGCTTTTTAGACCATATGCTTACTTTCTTTTCTTTGATTTTGTGGAATCTTCTTCAACAATGTTTACTCCAGATATTACTGAATTACCACGTGACCTCTTTTCTGCGGCCTTGTTATCCTCTTCGATTCTCAGTCTTACCATGAGATCTTCAACAGTCATCTCCTTGCGTTTATGTTTCAAGTAGTTCTTCCACAATGGAGGTAACTTCTCAATAATGGCCGCTACTTGAAAAACATCATTCACAATCAATCCTTCAGCATGAAGATCATGGATTATGACCTGTAGTTCTTGAACTTGGGTGACGACAGTCTTACTGTCTATCATCTTATAATCCAAAAACTTTGTCACAATGAACTTCTTCATTCCGGCATCCTCTGTTTTGTACTTCTTTTCTAAAGCATCCCAGAGTTCTTTTGAGGTCTTGTCACTGCTGTACACATTGTACAAATCATCTTGCAGGCCACTTAGAATATAATTTTTACACAAAAAATCTGAATGTGTCCATGCTTCTGTCACCAAGAATCGTTCTTCAGCCAGAGTTTCATCCGACATAACATGAACATTCTCATTAATGAACCTCTGTAGACTCAGCGTAGTCAGATAGAAGAACATCTTTTGCTGCCATCTCTTGAAGTCGACTCCAGAAAATTTTGCAGATTTCTCAGCCGGTGCAAGGGCAGCAGTTGAACGATGTGTGCAACCAGGGTGTTGTTGCAGCACTCATTGTTCCAACTATTTACTTGACTTGAATTTGTCATTTTTCTGTCACAAACGGCAGACAATTTTAGTATATGAAATACTAACAGTAAAGAATAAATCCTTACACAGCCTGTTTCTGATTTAACGATAAAGTTTTTATGTTCTTTTAATCGTTAATCAAATGAATTTTAAAAATTCAAACAGAGTAGAAAACCATAAAAGTTTTAATCTCTAGAAACCTCAAATACAGAAACTTTTAAATTTCTTAAGCTTGTTATCCTCCTGTATTAAGGTTAGGAAAATAGAAATAGAAAATAGATGAAACAGACAGAAATAAAAATTCGAGTCCACAGAACCCACTGTGTTTCCTTAAGAAATTTAATCCCCTCAAGTACCCAAGGTTGCAGATTAATTCTTCCCAAGATAAAACGGATTAACCTATTAGAGAAGTAGTGGTACCTCAAACTTCAATAATTTCAGCGAACGCAAGAACAGTAACGAGAGCACACACAGACTCAGTCGATCAACAATTTATTTTTGTAAGAAAATGTATGCAGAGAGGAAAAAATTTCAGTGAATGAAAAATGAAAAGACCTCTTATTTATAGCCATTTGTAGTAAGGAACGCGTTTGTTCGGACAATGGTGTCATTCCAGAACGTTGTGTCTTTTTGGGAAAAGTAACGCCTTTTTGAAAGGAACATGTCCCTTCAGAACGTTTTTACCGTTCACGCAAATTTCAAATAAATTTCGTTACGCAAAATTAATTCTGTTAATTAACTAACATTATGAATTAATTTATAAGAGAAAGGAAATCAATTAATGAGATTGATTAAATAAATTTTGTTCAAAAATATTATCAATCAAGCCGAAGCCGAGCGAGCGACGACGACAACGGAGCGAGGGGTACCTTCTT